AATATTGTTATGGAAACATTTCAAAAGCTTTAGTTATGAACTTGTGTTGGCTGTAAAACTCTATTTTCTTTGTAACTGTGTGAACAATAGAGACAATAAAAATCACAATATTTTGAAAAGGAAATGGAGTGAATGAATGTAAAAACATATTGGGAGGCAGAGTATTGGTAATACAGAACAATCAACATGAAATATTTTATTAATTTCAAAATAGTTTCTTAAGCGGGGAAAGGAAGATACAGGGAAAAGCTTGTGTCTAAAAAAGAAAGAAAAATGAGTGAACATCAGGGCAGAAAATCTTTAAAACCATGTCACATAATGAGAAGAATTGACTGAGTGATATTCAAGCAATTAAGGAGATACAATAGATGAAATATCAATCGACATATACTAGACAATCATCATAAAGGTATCCTACCTCCAATTTAGAGTAGTTATATGCAAGAATAATTATAAATCTATAAGGCTGTTGTTTGGATTTATCATCTGTCTGTCAGAGTATTGACATGCCTTTCTGAAGTAAACTTAATATAAACTTGGAGGGGGAAGAAGAGTATTGAATTTTCCAACAACTAGTGATGATTAACATTATTTTAAAACTTTCCAGTTCAGTATAAAAAGGTTTTGAGCAAAGACTAAAAGAAGGAAGATATGAAGAAATCTAAATGCTATCCACAGTAAATATAAATTCTTGGCATCTGTGTCACCTCTTAAAATGAGAGCTTCTTCCTCTTCTCTCTCTATCCCTATAAAATTAAGTCCCCAATATTGTGTGTGTGTGTGTGTGTGTGTGTGGTTTTTTGAGACAAGGTCACACTATGTAATTGAGACTGACCTGGAACTCACTATGTAGCCTAGGCTGGTCTCGAACTTACACAGTCCTCCTGCCTCAGCCTCCTGAATGCTGAGATTACAGGCGTGTGCCACCATGCCTGGCAAGTCCCCGATATTTTGAAGTCTTGTGTTATAAATTGACCCTTCCATTATTTAACTTTTAAAATTGTGCATATTGTGCCTTCTAGAACTGGTATTAAAAACCTAACCCAGTGATGTGCATTGGGAATGAAACATCATAATATGCAGATATGTTTATTAGTGTATGTTCGTATTACAGAATAGTGATGTTTATTTTGGGGAAATGTATCATATATGTAACATACTTTGATCATTTTCAACCTCATTTTCACCTTCGCCCTCATCTCCTTTTGATACTAGTTTACTTTATGCATTTATTTATTTATACATTTGGTTCCTCATATAATAGAAAACATGTGATATGTAACCCTCAGGTCTGGCTTATTTCACTCAGTGTGATGCTGTCCAGTTTTAAAGGAATTCTTCAGAGCACATTCTCCTAGCATATCATAATCTTTCCACATCAGAACACTTCTATGACTATAAAATTGCTTTCTAACTTCATTTTATGTGCCCTTTGTGTGTTAAATTTTATATTGTGTGTGGCCAAATTTGTCTTTTATTTATCTGTTGTGGCACAAAGAGCTTGTTAGCTTGCTGCTTTATTTATTCCATGAAGAAACTGGGTTTTTGGGGGGCATATATCATTTGTTCAACAGATTTTTAAAAAATTTATTGTTTGTTATAAAGAAGGATATAAAGATATTTGAAATTAGGCTAAACAATAGATAACATGTCCTGTCAAACTCTGTTGAGGATAAAACCACTTTATCATCATATAAAGAGATTATTATACTCTTCACCATTGATAAAAGGTACAATACTTCATAAAATTTCATTTTAATTTGTATGTTTTAATGTACAATGGTATTAGTACTTAATGTACAGTAAAAATGATAATAAAAAACATGTATTTCATTGCTCTGAAAAACAGTAACCATTATTGTTCCTAAATCAACAATTTTATTTTGATATTAACTAGTGAATTTTCTATAAATACTGGGATCCTTAAATGATTTTTGAACTGGCATTATCATTTTAGTTGTCACTCATTAGTACTATTAATAAAATATTGAATATAGGTGACATATTTTTATGAATATCATCAGTGTATCTTTTTTATAATTAATTTTGGCAATGGTATGAACCCAGTATTGGAGGTGATGTAAGTTTATAGATTTCTTATGTTTTTGTGGCCAGTGCCACAGCTAGCAATAAAATGCCTGCTAAATTCCAAAGCAGAGTGTTGGATCTGCTCATGGATAGTAGAGATAATGAAATTTGAATAAGAAGAGACAATTTGGATGAAATAAATTGTAAGAATTGTTAGAGCTCTTGGTTAAACTGTTGCCATTTTAACTGGAACATGGAGCCAGGACCTAATAAACTATGAAACTGAAAATCCATCAAACATTTACATATGCAGTACAGTATCTTAGTTAAAAATCATCAGAAGATGACAAATTAATTATGCTCACCTAATTCCTAAGGGTTGAAGAAAATACATGAAAACTTTAAAAATGTGCTTTAACTTTACTGTTCTTTTTTCCCTCATTAAATTTTTTGGAACACTTAAGGCAAACAATACAGTTACATTCATCACTAGGATCTTGTACTTTTACATGAAATACCTTGGTTCGTATTTCTTTTCCCATTTCCTTGCCCTCCCTTTACCACCTCCACACTTCCCTCTACAAAAAGGACAAGCACAAACAGCAACAAAAAAATTAAACATAGTTTGGTAAATCTTATATTATTATTTACCTCCATATTTTTAATGAATTCTTTTTATTTTACGGTATTTATTTGTGGTGCTGAGATTCAAACTCAGGGCCTCACTTATGCTAGGCAAGCTCACTTCTGTGACCTTACACTCCCATTCCACGGTCTTTATCACGGCAGCGCAGTTTGCACAACTTGAAAGCCTGCCTTGTCCCCTATGTGCTATTTTTCAGTGCTGTGGATGTGAGGACCTTACACTGTATGCTGACTGACTGCAGAAGACTAAGCAGATAAGACTATAGACAACCATTTTTGGTTTTGATACTCTCCCTAATTTAGGATTCTAGTTGAGATATACAATAAAATATCCATACTCATTCAGGAAGAATAAGTTCCAACATTCTCCATTAATTTATTCCTTCCTTTTCTGATAGATTGAATTCATTAAATAAAAACAGTCCTGCCAGGCATGGTGACACACGCCTGTAATCCCAGTACTAGGGAGGCTGAGGCAGGAGGATCACTGTGAGTTCAAGACCAGCCTGGGATACATAGTGAGTTCCAGGTCAGTCTCAACTACAGTGTGAGACCCTCTCTTAAAAAACCCAAACAATCAAACAAAAAACAGTCCTACAATCCAAAGCAACCAGATCATGTAGAGAAAAGTCCTGGCAATAGAAGCACATTTTCCCCCCACTAAAGAACAATAGCTATCTGAAAAACAGTGTTCTTTCCTTCATGGCTGAAGAAAACAAAGGACAATTCATTGTTATGTAGTAAAATGATTACATTTTGCGTGCCAATATCACGGTCTGTGAAATATTGTAGAATAATTTTACTACACACATATCATCACAGATTCAGCATCTTTACAGTGACCTGTTTAGATGTCAGTTATGATAGTATCAAGGAAGGATTACTAATTAAACTGCACTCCATTGCTTCTGTTTCAAATTTTCTGTCTCTTCTTCTGTTATTTAATAACTACGTACAGATTCGATATCAAGTCATTTTTGTGAATTCAGGAGGGACTGAAATAATTTTCTAATAGCACATTTGCATTGACAAAACATAACAGGTTTATTTTCATGATAAAACAATGCCACCTTACATTATTTTTCACAAGGCAATTTATTTTCATCTTTAAAAAACATTTATAATTTAAGCTTGCTTTTAAAAACATGAAATCATAGTACTAAAACAGAAACTACAATATCTGATTGACTACCTTTCCCTATTCTGTCTTCTGTAACTATGTCACACACATTCACAAGTTACTGAGAATTCTTACCTTTCGCAAAACTGATATTTGAAAAGTTAAGCATTTATCTAATGTTAGATACTAAACTTGGTGAGGTAAATGAAGAATTCAATTGATGTGCTTATGTCCCTCTCGAAGAGTAATTAATGCCATCCTTTATGTCAGCCACTGAAATGTAGCCAAAGTATCAACTTAATTCATTCAGGTTATATCTCACTGCCAAATGATAATATGTGATAAGCTACAGTAAATTATACTCATCATAAATGATCTGTCCATAAAATTACAGACATATTTTTTAAATGTTCTACTAGTTAGGAAAGTTAAACAGACAGATTCATTGGGTGAGTTTTGTTTGACAGAATACAATCTCAACAAATATTTTTTCATTTCATTTCATTTATTGGTACTTTTAAGTATACAGTACAGTAACATTCATCTTTGGGACCTTGTACCTTTACATGACGGATCTTGGATCTTATTTTTAGCCATTCCCCTGCCCTCCCTTCAACCCCTCCACCCCTCCCTATCTGTGAAGACTTTGTTTCCATTTTCTCATTTAATTTCATTCCTATCTTTTTTCCCTACCCCTCCCACTTCCCCTTCCCCTTTGTACCTTTTCTTCCTATTTCACATTATCTATTATAACTTTTAGTCCTTTTTTACACTTTCAGTTTCTCACACTAGAGAAACTATTCTGGTATTTACACATATGCATCCTATTTATTTTGCCTTAGAGTATTATCTCGGCTGGGGATTTAGCTCAGTGGTTCACTACAGAAAAACCAGAATATCACCAAGTATCACCTCAGTCTGCATCCATTTAGCTATAAATGTCTCTGGTTTCTAATTCTTCATGGCTGAGTCATCCTTTATTTCATAAAAAACAAACAAAAAATTTCTTTATCCCGTGTCCAATTGAAGGGCAATTGGGCTGCTTCCAAGTTTTAGCTTTCACAAATTGTGCCTCTATGAACATGTTTATACATACACCACTGTGGTACGATTCTTTTAATTCTTTGGGGACAATACCCAGCAGGGGAATAGCTGGGTCAAATGGGCATTTAGCTCAGCGGTTCCTCTGCTTGCCTCACAAGTGCAAGGTCCGGCGTTTGATTCCTGGTTCAAAAAAAAAAAAAAATCAATGTCTACAATTTTTATGTTACTATGTGTGTTCATGTTAAGAGTGTGCGACAATTAGAGTGTGCTGACCTTTGGGTAAAATGTGCATGGTTTAGAAGTCATTCTCAAATATCCCCTTGACCAATTTACTTTAAATAGTATAGATTAGCAAGATCTCATCTCCCAATATGCTGCCTGTTCTTTATTCTTTAGAGAAATTTACCTCATTTGACTTCATATAATAACTATTCATTTGTTTGCCATTAGATTTCCAATTAGAATTCAGAATTCTTCAGGGATAACACTTAGTCTTCTACCAGCCTCTGTGTATGGACAATCTCCTTAAATACTTGTTGCATGAATAAGTGAAACCCTGAAGTGCTGTACTAATCTTAATCCTGTTTTGTCATCTTTATGTTAATTGTGAATTTTGGAATTCCAGATTTTGAAATGCCAGGTTGAAAACTGAATTTGGATATCTGGTCAAACTTTACTTCTACATGAGAATTCACCATTTAAACAGATTTTAAGAAAAAGAATTTGCCTCATCTCCTATCCCATATTCCCCTTCTACTAGTAAAATTCTTTAAATGTTGTACCAACAATGGACTTACTGCTATTTGGCACTTTGAGGTGCAGGGCATGATACCATTTAGTTTTATTAATGTAACTTGTAACTGCCTAGAGACAGCTGAGTATTAAGCCAAGGCATTACTAATCATCAACCCTGGGAGAGCACAGGGCAGATTTGCGTGTGTTTTGTGTAATTAACAATTACTGCCTGGATTAATAAGCTTTGTATACCTGTGAACATCAAACCATGAAGTTATAAGGGAAAATAATGAACCCTCACTTAATTGAGGATTCATCGTACTGCAGTAAAACAAATGTTTTAAAATGAGTTTTATTATTTCAAGTTCACAGCAAGCCCATTAGTCATCAGGGTAAGTGTCTTGACATAAACTATATGATTATGCACAACAACCTTGTAAAAAGGGGAATATTTGCTTCCGATATTAATGAAAAAGATCGAGAGGTTAAAATAACTATGTGTTTTCTAAAACTATTTGCCAGTATCAAGTAAATTTAATCATATAGCTATCCTTTCATCCAGACATTTAATTCTTAAGAAGGTAAAAACTAATAATTCACAACAAAATTATGCATGAGAATAGTAGTATTACCACCATTGTTAATATGTCTAAATGAAAACAAATCAAATGCTCAATATTGGTAGAAATTAAAAATATCTTATAATCTACCGAAGCAAAAAGTATATTGTAATGAGAATAAATGAATTAAAACTTCATACAACAATATGGATGACTCATGAGAATTCACGTTGGGCAAGAGAAAGGAGGCAAAAATTTACATCATATGTGTCTATTCTCATACAACACAAAATAACCAAAATTCATGTATTCTGTTAGAACTTAACACAGTGAATTTTCATGGATGATATAGTGATCTTAGGAAGTTATGTAAAGCTACTTCTGAAATACTTGTTTGCTGAATGTTAACTTGATTGTGCAAGTAGTTATGCTTCCTAGAATCCATTCTTATAGGGTTTGCAGCTTATCTTGGAAGATGAGGAGCTCAGGAACTCAGGTCAAGCGTAGCTATTGGTACTTAGTCACACAGTTAGATACGGTGATGGACGGGCCCAGTGACACGAATCTAGACCAACACTCCCATTAAGTACTCTGCAGCCTTCCGCTCCTCTTTCCCCTTGCTATCCCTGCTGGCCCGTGGAGACCCTCGGGCCTACAACCAAAGAGTTAGCTACCAATCAAAGAATGGCAATTGCTTTGTAGAAACAAAATTCCATAAATCCCTTTGTAAGCTTTGCATTCAAGACTTGACTTTGGTGAGCAATATTTTAGGATTTTGAATTTCTCTTTAAAATCCCAAGCTCTCAGTCCTTTTCAGCATCTCTACCAGGTTGGCTAGGAACTCATTTTGTGATCCTCTTACTCTTAACTCCAGATTTTACTTTCCCAGCTCCTCTCTTATATCTAAAAAGTATAAATTATGATAAATTCTTTTTCACATGTCTTCTATTTTATTCTATCTCACATGTCTTCTTTGAAAGAACTCCGACTGATACATTACAAAACTCTTTGTTGACCTGAGTGTGTGTTGTATAATGTGTCAACTTTTGAAAACATTTATTAAAACTTAACATTTAGTTTTATAATTTTCCATTTATATTGTAGTGAAATGCTTATTTACAAAACTGCTTCTAGGTTGAGCAAAGCATTCATTTCATATGACATCAAATTCAATTTTAAACTCAGAAAATACACAAATACCATTTATTCTCACAGGGGAATAAAATTGTTTACCTTTTTATCTGTAATAGCTATGTATCATTTATCAAAAGTTCTAAAGTGAGAAATTATTGTGTAGTACTCTCTGATGTGGTCACCTAAAACCTCATTAAATGTTTTCTTCAAAAAGCCTGTAGGTTTCCTTTAATTTAAAAAAGTATATTACCTGGCAGTACTATAGTTTTTTTTTAAGATATCCACTGCATTCACAGGTTATTATCTGAAAATAAGAACTGAGCTGACTTTGCACAAATAGAATTAGAAATCTCAGATTCTTCTCCACTTACCAATTTACCCAGCATCAAGGAAATATGGATACAAAGCAAGTATTGCTGGAGAAGTAGTTATTGAACAAAGGCAAGGACTATAGTCAACATCTTTTCTATAGAAGTGTAGTGTGCTGAAGATTTAGGTTGGGTGTGTCTGGTGCTTGATCACACTGTGCTAGTCTAAACACTTAATACTAGTAATGCTATGCATCATGAACACCTGTTTCCTCTCTACAGAACTGCCTGTGTGACTCAGTTGCCATGATTGTGACTGATTCCCTTAAAAGCAAAAACCTGCATAAACAGGTTGCACTGCTGCTCTTCTTGGTTGGAACTTACTCATCTGGGGTCACCCATCATGGCTGGAGGAGCTGAGTTTCCATTTGGGCTCCCTCTGAGGTACCAGGATTTCTCCTCTGCATTCCTTGGGACTTTGTTCTGTGCCTTTGTCTTCTGCTCATTTTCTCTATATCTTTTCATTTCACAAACTGTCACTGTGATTCTTCCACTTAATTATTGAAGTCAAAGACAGTCTTAAGGACCCTAAAAACATCAATATCCCAGCTCAGAACAGCAAAAGATTTTTCCATGAACTGGCATAGATGATGCTCCTACTTCATTCTTGCTAATTTCTCCAGGAAAGAATGAAGCACAATCTAACTAGAGCAGTGGTAGGAAAAGGATTTAGCCAAATGTAATATAGCAGTAAATGAAAGAAAATCTGCTGGTTATCTTTGCAAATTCTTGAATATCTCTTACAATTTTTATCTCAGTATATAGCACAGAAAAGCTTGCATTAGGAAGGGATGAAAGAAATCTAATTTTTTGGTCTGCTTACTATTATATGATGTTCTCATCTTTTATTACAAGTACTTTGGGGAATCATCTATTTATCCATCTATTTAAATATATATATCATACTTTCATCATCTTTGATCTGCTTTTCCTCCAAACTGTCTCCTCTCCTGCCTTCTCTATATCCCCTCCTACATCACCAAAATGTCTACTTCCCTGTTTCCTGCCATCTGTCCTCTCTTTTACTCTTTAAAGTATGTATGTTTTGAGTTTCTCATATGAGTGATATCATGCAATATTTAAGACCCTGAGTTTGATTTATTCCTACAGACATTATGGTTTCAAGGTACACCTGTTTCCCAACAAATAACTCAAATTTATCTCTACTTATGTCTGAGTAATTCTCCATTATGTATACACACATATATGTTTTTTCTTCAGTTATTGATTTGATGGTGGGCATCTAAGCTGTTTCCATGGTTTAGCTACTGTTAATTGCACTGCTAAAAACATGAGCACACACAAATTGCTATAGCATAATGTCTTTAACTCTTTTCAGAATACGTTCAGGAAGGATACAACTGAGTGAAACAGAGTTTTTACTTTCAGTTTTTGAACAATCTCTGCACAGATTTCCATGAAGGTTGTACTCATTCTCATACCTACCAGTAATGTTGGAAGATCCTCTTTTCCCCACATCCTGACCAGTGTTGGTTGTTTTATTTCCTTCATCGAGTAAGAGATAACCTCAGAGTTGTTTGGATTTGCATTACTTTAGTGGCCAAAGATTCTGAATGTCCATTCATGTAATTATTGGCTATTTGTCCTTCCTCTTTTGAGAAGTGTTTATTCATTTCATTTTCACATTTTTTGACTGGATCATTTCATTTGGGGAGAGTTAATTGTTTAGTATATTTTATATTCTAAATATTAGTCCTCTAATAGAATAGTGTCTGGCATGGCCAAAGATTTGGCTCAGTGATTTCACCACCTGCCTGCAAGCTCAAGAGCCCAAGTTCAGATAGTATCTGGCAAATAACTTTTCTCATTCTTTAATGTTGCCTCTTCACTCTCTTGGCTGTTTCCTTTTCTGTGTAGATTTTTAATTTAGCGTAATTCCATTTCTTGTTTATTGCATTGCTTCTGGTGCAAATGGAGTTCCCTTCAGGAAGTCTTTGCCTATGCCTGTATCTTCAAGAGTTCTTTCTTTTTGATCTTCCAGTAGATATACATTAAATAAAATAATATAGTTTAAATACACTTTACATGTCATAAGAAAATAATTTTTGATGTGCATAATCAAACGAAGTCTCCATCTTTAATCTCGGCTATGAGATAAATTTTCTTTTCTGAAAATTCACACTGAATGTGAATGTAATTGGAGATAGGGCTGTTATGGAGGTACCTACATAGGGTTTATTTAGGTCATTAGAATCAGCAATAATATGATGTCTGGACTCTTTGTAAGAAAAAGGAAAGCCATACATTGAAAAACTACGTAGAAACATAGTGGAGATGTGTTTTACAAGCTATAGAAACCGAACTTGTTGACACACTGACTGAACTTCTACACAAAGGATTGTGAGGAAATAAATTCCCATTTAAGCCACCTAGTCTGTTCTACCTTATTGCAGCACCCCTGGCAAATGAACATATTCTCCAAATGGTGAAACTATAAATGTACCTCACAATTAATTTTCAACTCAATGTCATTATCTGGTAAATGTAACCAGCAAGGCTCATTTATCAACCTGATATTGAATACATATTTTGAAGTTTCAGTTCTCTCTTATTCCTTTTGAAAAGAAAAAAAGATATTTCTCTAGAATTTCTTGCAACCTAAATTTCTCTATCAGTCATTCTAAATCCATGATGAGTTAGCTAAAGACTAAGTGCATTTAGTATTAAACAGTAACTCTAGACAGACTAAATAATGCCTTTATATATGAATATTTCCAATTTTCAAATATGTATAGATAACATTCTGCCAAGTAATAAAATCATTTACAAGTATTTTCAAGTTCAGTATAGTGTTTTGTCTCTTAATAGTGGGTATTTAATTTCTGTATCTCAATTTTCATACCATACTATGATTCCCCTTGTGGGACTACTGTGACACTTGAAGAAGGATAAAAGCATCCGAGGGCTTGGAACGGGCTCTACTTAAAAATATACCAAGCATCTGGCATCCCGAGGCAGTAACATCATGAGTTCTCCAGACCAGTCTGGACAACTTAGTGACTTAGCAGAATTGACTCTAAATTAGGTGTCTAAAAATAGGTGGGAGATTTAGCAGAGACCTTGGTTTCAATCCCTAGTACTGAAAATGATTTATTACATTTCTATAATTCTTGTTATATTGAATAGACCTGACCAGTCATCTTCCTGCATTCACTGGAATGATGCTGAAAATGGTCTTGAGTTTTATAGTAAAAAGCTGTAACTGCTCAGCAGGAAGCAAATCAACTTAAACTCTGCTAATTTCCCTGAAACTGTGTAATTGAACTTGTATCTACAGGGTATCTTCCTTCTCTGATGCACTTCAATGACTTTTGTAAAATTCCTAATGTTTACTAAATCCAAAAGCCTTTCATAAAGTAAAAAACCACGACAATTGCATTTGGCAAGGATTCCAAGGTATCTCTCTGTTCTGTTATTTCCACAGTGTGTTGTGACCATTTCTTTTTGGAAAACACAAGTGTAAATATCACACCAAAATAAATAATGTGTATTATTTTTTTAAAGTCTAATCTTTAAAATATTGAGTGAGGTGTAACAGTTTAAAAGTCAGGATGTCACTAAGTTAACTCAGGGAATATAGTGACAGGCACAATTTCATATTTCAAAAAGAGGCTGGATTTCTGTGACTCTTCAGCCAAACTTATGCAGAATAATATGGAAATCAAAATATTTAAAATGTCCAGAAAATTTATCATCCAATTTCTCATAGAAAGGACATTACTTTATTAATTCTCCTTCAGAAAGTTCAAGAGTTCACATCACTCCATGATCATTTACACAATATACTTTCAATCATTTTCATTTGTTTTACATCATTTCATCTTATTTAATTCTTTCTGCCTTTTCCCACACTTACCAAATTACATTGAAAGGAAAAACTTTATTTTGCTATGGTTTTCTGGAATTTCCAACAATCATTTATAACAATAGCTGGTAAACACCTAAAACAAGACAGAGGCTCCTACATTGAATTATTTGTTTATAGAAGGATATTTCAACTGTGTACTGAGATACACAGATATATTTGATATATCTTCAAATGAAAGCAATGAAAATGGAGAATAGAGTGATCCTTTTTTTTGCTGTTCTTTCTTTTCTCTCAGTTTTCTATTTTCTTTGTTCTTTCTCATTTTTTTTTTACTTTATGAGTGAATTATGGAAAAAACAAAACAAAAAGGTGAGGCGGGGGGAGCATAGCAGGAATGAAGGTACTCAGTAGTGCTATCTAAAACTTGAAAATAAAGAAAAGGAAGTGTAAGCATGCAGAGTATGCCACATCAAAAAGAGTGTGAATAATTTTTAAGGAGTTCATGATATGTCGTTTGAAAATATGCTGCAGTAATATTGATGATTTGAGCTGAAGTCAACTGGATAAAATAGCTAACGCAAGAAGAGATGTTCCTTGAACTCCTTTTCTGCACAAAGAGAGAACCTCCTAAATAGAATTGTCATTCCTCCCCTCACCGCCAGGGGAGTTTCTATAACCAGGGAACTCTCTGATTGCTTGCAGGGGAAGAAGAGACAGGAAGTTCATGGCTCACTCAACCAGTCTCTGTCCCTGCCTATCATAGCTCTCTATTCTTTTAAGGGTTCATTCAACCTTCCTAAAAATCATTAACTACATCCCTCTCCTTAAGATTTTGAGTAATAAAATATACCATAAGATTGTGTATAAAATCTTGTTCTTGTGATGCACTCTTTCCTGTGATGCTCCATAAATATAACAAATTAGGAAATTTGTGTACGGTCCTCCATAATCCGCCTTTCACATTATTTTATTTATTTACTTTTTCCAGTACCAGGAATTGAACTCAGGACCTTGTGTTTGCAAGGCAGGCACAGTGCCGCTGAGCTCTTCGCATTATTGGATAGAACCATTGATCAAGCTAAAGTAAGGAGCCTAGAAAGACTTTCTACCCTTCCAGAAAAAATAAATGCATAGTTCAAACTTATACATTTTCTACTAGATTCACCCAAAGAGAATTAATTTTCTAGGAAGAAAGCATTTTTGTTTGAAGTACAGTTTCATATTTATTAGAATCATCAATTTCCCTAAAATTATTAACATATAGACTCAAATTATGTTTTCAAAATTATTTGTAAATTTTAATTGCCAAATTAATAATTGCAAGAATTTATGAGGTACAATGTGAAGTTTTGATATATGTGTAAAATATGGCTGATTAAACAAGCTAATAAATATATCTATCATCACACAGATATACACATGGGCACATTTATATGTATGTATTTTGTGAGAATATTTAAAATAACTAAACAGTTTTTAAATTTGTAAAATATTAGTACGAATTATATGAATTGAATGAACTTTTAGTATGTTTAATGAACCTAAAATATTTATTCCTCCTGTCTCACTGGAATTCTTTGTTTGTTTGTTTTTGGAGACAGGGTCTTACTATGTAGTTCGGACTGCTCTAGAACTCACTGTGTAGCCCAGGCTGATCTCGAACTCACAGTGATCCTCCTGCCTCAGCTTCCCAATTGCTGGGATTACAAGTGTGCATCACCACACCCAGCTTAACTGGAATTCTTTACATTTAAACAACTTTCCAACATCCTTCCCCTTCCCAATTCTGGTAAACACCAATCTATATTTTTGTGCTTTTTTTTTTGATACAGTATATATAGTGAGGCATTTCTCTTCTTCCTGTTTGATTTGCGTAGTGTATTCCAGTTTCATAAATGTTGGTAAAAATCACGTCGTACAGAGTAAACATTGTGTACTGCAATCACATTCCAATAAAAAGGAATGTAGTAAGCAAGTGATTTTATATAAATACATATATATATATACATACACACACTTTTTTTTTTGTTTTTTTTTTTTTGTACAGGGGATCCAACTCGGGACCTTAGGCTTGCAAAGCAGGCAGCAAGACCACCGAGCTAAATCCTTGGCCCCTATCTATCTATTATCTGTCTATACCGCACCTTCTTTATCCATTCAGTTGTTACCTTTTCACGGTAGCAACTTCATTTGCTTTGGCTATTACTCAGAAGCAGAATTGCTTAATTATATGATAGTTATATTTTTATCTTTTAGGAAAGTTTTAAGTAGTGTTTTCCTAGTAGCTGTGCTAATTTACATTTCTATTAACAGTGTACAAGAGTCCTTGTTTTTTGTTTTGCTTTGTTTTCATTACGTTTTTGGTACTTTTTAAGTATACAGTGCAGTTACATTCATCACTGGGATCTCGTACCTATACGTGATGTATCTTGGTTCTTTTTCTTTCCCTATTCCCCTGACCTCCCTTCATCCCCTCTACCCTTCCCTATGTTGTTTTCATTTTTCCCTTTTCTTACATTTTTTCTTTTCCCTTATTTATGTCTTTCTTCTCCTATCGAATCTTAATTCAATTTGTATCTAATTTAATAATATTGCTTCAATAATTATTTTTCTTTAAATGTTTATTCATTATTCAATTGTCAATCTATTATTCTACTATGTATTTTATTTATGAATTGAATCTTTGACATATACTCTTTGCATACTGTATGGGCATATTTAAATCTTGGAAAATTATACTTTTGCTAAGAAAAGCAATGACATTTTCTAAAATAAGAGAGTTTATGTGACTAATGAAGAAAATCATATGTATAAGAAAAGAGACCGAGGGCCAGGGATTTAGTTCAGCAGTTTGGTGGCCTGCCTTGCAAGCACAAGGACCCGAGTTCAATCCCCGGTACAAAAAAAAAAAAAGAGAGAGAAAAGAGACCAAGTGCTACAGGTGTCACAAGAATCCTTTGAAATGGAGATGTACTGAGGTTCTTTGCAACTGTATTTTTACAGCACAGGTAGAGTCCTAATATCCTCCTAAAGCAGCTTCGCTTACTCCTAAAATATCATATAAGTCACTTCTTGAGGATTGTTACATTTCCTAATTTAATCTATACTTTCTTATTAAAATAAGGAACTCTTACTTGGTGTGATTTCATTTCCGCTGTCTTTGCGGAAGTGACCAGGAAGTGTCGTAGGTCCCAAAGGTGCACAAAGACCACAAAGAACTGAGGAAACCGGTCCTTCAGCGGGACTGAAGCTTCCGAGGAATATTTCACAGATGTTGAGTGTAACTGTGTCACCGAAAAACCACCAAAGATAGTTTTATGGAAACTTTTAAAGATCATCTTTCCTCATTCACAATTTTGTTTAAGGACCCCACTGTTTTCTTTAAACTTTTTCATCATATGGAAGTTAACTGAGTTAAATCAGAGCTGAATCACAAAAGAATCATTTATCTGAAAACTCTTATTTCATTGTGATTCTTCTAGCCTCAGTGGATGGAGAAATATTGAGAATCAGTTTCAAACATTGCTTTTTGGAAAAGAAGCTTGCTCTCCTGTTTAAAGATAGAGCATGGATTCACAAATAATATTTCAGAATGTGCTTTTCTTTAATTTTTTTCCCTTGACCTTTTATTGTTTTGATTTAATTGAATGGAAGTCTGAGAACTATTTTATTTACAAATAGAAAGTAGAGTCATATTGAACAATATATTATTTGCCTTTTAGCACACAAAGGAATAGTCAATGACTTGCATTGAAAGGGAAATTCTTTTATATTCATGTCATCCATTGTTGAATGGCATTTGACATTTGAAGAACATTAATTTCACCTCACATTTCTTCAAAAAGGAAGAAACAGATTTATAATGTAATCTATCCAAGGCCACAAAATTAGTATCAGATGAGGAAGGAGCAGAATATTAAATGAACCAGGACTTTATTGGAATGGAAGAAAATTTAACTCTAAGGCTGATGTTACCTTCAAATGCCTTTGCTCAAATCTCAAACACTGTGTTGACACAGCTACTTCAACTCCATTTCTTAACCAAAGTCAAACGTGGCCTGATGTTGTCTCTCAATCTTGGTACCAAATATTTTCAAATTCAACAGTTCTGATTGCTGTTGAAAGAAGAACAAAGAACTTCTGAGGATCATTATTATTGGCTTTATTTCATGCTGTTGGAATAAACAGTGAATATATTTATCATATTTATATGTCCTATAGCTCTTGGTTTGAAGTTCAGTCAATGTTTGCATAAGTAACTAAAATTAATTTCCCCATTCCATTCTGTGACAGCAATTTTGAAGTGTCATAAATTCTGAGACAAGTTCATCAAGCACAAGTAATTGCTAATAAGTGACAAGCAAGTATTTTATTTTGTCTTTAATTAGTAACTGTAGAGTAACATATTTCCTAGAATATAATATAATAAAAGCAAATAGTTAAATAATTTCAAAAACTTTTTTATTTCTGACTAGAATAAAATTATGAACAGGAATTGAAAAATTATAGTATGCAATGAATATAAATAGAAATCTCCATGAATGATGTCATTTTAATTGAAAAGAAAAATTTCAACCTGCATTCAATTTCAACAAGTCAAATAAAAGTACCATAACTCTCAAGTCTCAAGCAATTTTCTCTTTAATATTGCATTTCACTTTTTTAGCAAAGTAATCAGAATGTTGTTTTGCAAAAAAAACATTTATTACTTGGTGTGTGGCTATGTCTTACTTCTCAGTTGTGTTTTGCAGTCACGTCATTGAAATAGCAGTTAACAGATCATTTATCTAGGGATCTGGAAATGAATTATACTGTCATTAAAAGTATAAACACAGAATGCACAGTGAGTGGCTTCCAAAACTATGTCAGTAAATATGTGCAAGAAATACTGACATATCTATTAATATGTTTATATTTGATATCTGCTTTTTCCCTGAAGTACATCTGCCATGCAAATTTGAAGAGAACATTAATTGGGCCAGTTTTTCTCATCTTTCATAGAAATATGTAAATGTTCAATTGTAATTAATAATGATAACTAGTATCATAGTTATATCATATATGCCATGTTGATGAACAGTATCAGAACTCATTATGATATAAGAATAGTGCATTGGGAAGACAGAAAGGAAAGTGTCAGGCACTAGAAGATATATGTACAAAATCAAGGCTATCCCGTGACTATTGTAGACAGAGATACACAAAGTTGTGTACTGCTGTTATTCTTAAAGAAATCCCTTCACTTACTTGGTCAATTGGAATTAAGGAGCTAAGAATTATAAAACAGCTAATACAAAATGTAACACAGATGTTAATATCCTAGTTAATGCCTCCCTTATAGTTGTGATTCTTTTGTTGTATTGTTTGCTCTTCAAAATAGCCCTACCATTTATCTAGCTATGTTTCATACATCAATCTTCACGGTAAGACTTGTGAAATTTGTACTACATATCAGAACTTTCTCAAACATATTTCTGATTCTCAGGGTGAAGATTTGATCAATGTGTGCTCAGACAAATTTGATAGCCAGACAGTTGGAAGAGATTACAGCAGATGCGGTCATTGTTCACAACCCCCATATTTCTTAGATTTTCTTCAATAAATTAGTTCCTCTCAAATTCTTTGGGGTAAACTGAAACACCACAGTGTTTGAAGCATGCTTGCTCAGAATTTTTTTTTAACTTTGAGCAAACAAGAAAACATATACAAGTTGTAACATGATGTTGATGCTTAAAGGATGGATATGTGCAGATTGCCAAACTAAAGATCATTTATTCACCCATCAATTCATTCAACAATATTTTTATTTTATTTTATTTATATTTTTTGACATACTGGGAATTGATCTAAGGACCTTCACACTGAGCTGTATCCCAGCTATTTTTTTATTTTATAGTTTCAGACAGAATTGCACTAAATTACCTACTAAGTTGAGCCCAGATGAGGCTCAAAAGTAAAATCCAACTCACGCAAATTTCCATAGTGACTGGAGTACACATATACACCATTAAGCCTGGGACAATTACATTTGTAGAGAACTGAGTATATTATACTCACTGTGACAGAATCCTTTTAGATACAAGATTTTTAGAAAAGACTGTGTATAAATAAATATCCAAAGTAATGTAATGTGGAAAATATGTTCATCGTCAAGGTAATATTTGAACAAAGATATAAATGATAAAATTTAATCAAGTTAATTTGGGGGAAAAATAGCCTACTAGGAAGTGAAAAATGCAAATACCAAAGCTTGAGAAAAAAAGCTAGTTAACACGGTTTGATTGCAACCAGCACACCAGTAGGACAGAAGCTCAGGAATCCAGGGAGACTGTGGTGAGAGGTGATTTTGAAAAGTTAGCTAGGAACTAGACCTACAGGACAAGAACTTTTGATTTCATTATCAGTGCAACAGAAAATACTAGGATCTTTGCGACAGGCAGTGATGTGTGATGACAGTCTGCTGTACAAATAATATAATAATATTGGAATGCAAGCACCAGAGGGAGGGACCATGGAGGAGGCTATTGCCTGCTTCCAAGCAGGGGATGGTGGGATTTGGAGTACGGCTGAAGTGAAGGGAGTGGTAGGGAGTAGTGTTTGTGAATTTTTGAAGGAAAATCCTGTGAGATTTACTGATACATGGGATGTAGTTTTAAGAGCAAGGAAGGAGTCAAGAATTATTCATACATATTTGTATTAATTGGCTTTCAAATTGCGAGAAACAATATCTGGCACTTCAAAACTTAAAGAAGAAAAGCTTTAATTTGCTCATGTCTTCAGTCTATGATCAGCTATTTCCAAGGCAGAAATATCATGGGAAAGAAAAGCTTCTCAGGTCATAGCAAGCAGGAGGTGGACAAAGAAAATGTAATGGAGAAGAAAGGGGTAGGGATTATATACATATATATGGCATATATACGTGGTATATATACCAAGGCCATGCCTCCATTACCCACCCAAAACCCACAGAGTCATGTTTTTCTAATCTACTAGATTTTTTTATGATTTAATAAAGTTGACAAGTCAGGATTAGCAGTGACAAGGTCACCACCATAAACTGTATACCAAAACAGTATGTCCTTAAGCTCTGCTTAATACCTGAAGAAAGTTAATAGCAACTTCATAATTCAATCTAATACAATGCAGCTCTCCTATGTACAAGTGGAAATGCAGTAATCCCTTACAAAGTCTGAACAGTTCCAAAAATTTTCAAAAGCTCAATATTAAGTGACTCTGCTAATCTAAGCAAACTCTTTACCTGTGACTTTCCATAAAAATAAACAAGTTATATAATCCCAAGGTAAAATGGCATGTAGTAAATTTTCCCTTTCCAAAAGTGAGAAATCCAGGACTACAAGAAATAGGACCAAACAAACAAACAAAAAAAGAACAGCATGGCAAATATTAATTCCATCAACTCTTCGTTGAACATCAGGGTACATGGTAGTGAGATGTGAGTTCCATAGGATCTACATAGCACCACCCTTAAGTCCTTCAAGGTTGCAGACTATGTGTTTGCTCTCTTGGGCTACCTCCATTCTCAGACTGCAACTTTGCTCTCCAGATATTACACATTCCTGTCATCTTCAATTTCCTGAGTTCTCCCTTGAATGTTAACTTCATCCTGACAGTTTCAACCTCTGCCCCCTAAAGTCTTCTTTGCCTGATCTTCCTGGCCTTCCTCTGAAATTTGGGTGGAAACTTTTGTGGTCCTACAACTTGAATTCTACCTGCCATTAAGAACCAGCCTCATATGGGCACTGCCAAGGTCTGCTGTCTGCAGAAGCAGTAGGCAGGACCCCTTAGACCGTGGCAATAGTGAACTCTGAGTGCCTGGATGAGTGAACACAATGAAATTAATCCTTGGGAATCAACTGCTTAGTTGGTCCTTCCCTAGCAGGGGTTCCAAGAAATCTATAAAAAAAAAAACTTTTGTACTTGTGAGTCTGCAATTGTTAGGGTCTTTCTAATTCTTATAATTCCCTCAAGGTATCTTTCTTTGTGTCCCTGTACAAAGTACTTAGATTGTTTTTAATGGTGTTTATCTTTTTAACAGTTAAATTTTCTTGTGCCCAAAAATTTCAAATGATTCTTACTAGGTCAAAATTTAGGTTTTTACCATTTTTTTGTGCTCTGCCTTTTGGCTCAAATTGTCACTATAAATCTAACTAAAGGCATCCAGCTATCCCCACACCACAGCCAGAAAGTTGGTAAAAGCAGTCTGAAGTTTTTTGTTTGTTTGTTTGTTTGTTTGTTTGTTTTTTACCAGATTAGTCCACCTCTCTTAATCTTAGCCCAGGGGCAATATGTAGACAAATTTCTGCCAGAGTGAACACACATGATAGGTAGTCCAAATGACGATGATGCCCTTGCTCCTGATTGAATCCACCTGATCTTCCCATATTTGGATGTATTACTATCAGTGTTCTGATATTCTGAGCTCTGACTAGAATCACTCATCAGGCGCTGCTCATAGCATTCTGGGGATTCTCTAGCTGGATCTCCAAACCTTTTCAAACTCCCCAAAATCAGTTCCAAAGGCTTCTAAGCCACACAGTCAGGTATAGTCACAACATGATGCCACTCCTAGTGCCAGTTTATTGTATTAGCTAGTATGTATCCTCTTGCTGAACACATATTTGAAACTCATAAATTAAAGGAAGAAAAATCTCATTGGCTCATGCTTTCAGTCTGTGACCTACTGGCTTCAAAGCAGAAATATCACATGAGGAGGATGTGAAGGAGCAAAGCTAATTAGTTTATCGTGGCTGGGAAGCAGAGCAGGGAAACAGTGATGGAGAGGAATGAGCTAAGGATCACATATAATAGCTAAAGTCACACCTCCATGACCTACCTATCACCTCCAGGATTAGGCTTTACTAACATACCAGGCTTTTTAATCCAATGAAATTGGCAAGTCAGAATTAATGTCCACAGTTTTGATCTTAAGCAAGTGAGAGTCGTAATGTTTTCTATAAAGGGAAGTGCACCAATACAGGTTCCAGGTTTGAGGGATACACACATTCTGGGCATTTTCAGTTCATATGCCTAATGCAAAATGAGTAGTCAAAGACTTATGTAAGTTTGAAATGTGAAGAAAAGGATAGACATGGAT